GCAGCCTGGGCTGCTGTGAAATGTGGAGGTTGGTGGCCCTGCATTGGTGGGGGTTGGAGATTCATGATCCCTGAGGACCCTTTCAGTACAAGCCATTCTGTGATTCTGTGAAAGGTGGTGTACAGGTCTGCTGGAAAAACCCCACCTATAAAGATCTGCCTCTCAACAGCCTCCACCTGGCTGCCCGCCTGTCATCTGAATCTCATCTCCCAGGGAAATTGATGCATTTTTGCTGAGGGGCTCTGCATGAAGAGACAGACCTGCTGAGAAAAGAGCTGCCTCATGAAGGTTAACATACTCAGCACTCAAAAAGAAGTCTTGTCCTCTTCCAAACAAGACTTCCCCACTTTGCCTCTCTTGTTCTGCTGCCTCTGCACTTTTTCAGCTTTGTCTCTAACTCTCATTTGCTTCTAGAGCCACACTATTGGTTGTTTCCCCTTGCTTTCTTTTTGTGTTTTTTTTTTTTTTCCAAAGAAATCTGAAGTTATGGTCAATATCAACCTACATTGAGTGCTAACAAGAATTAAACTGATTATGCAAACTAAAACAACAAGGCACTGCTTATGGCATCCCACAACATACATCAGAAAACTGCAGTACTGCCTGAGGAAAAGCAGGCAACACACCCACAGATAATAAAGCAACTCTGAAGTACCCATGGCAGGGGGGCTGAAACTAGGTGATCATTCTGGTCCTTTTCAACCCAGGCTATTCTATGATTCTATACCCATTTTGATGCATTGTCCAAAACAGAGATGCTCAGAAAGGATGAAGTCATGAAAACTGCCTGGGAAATTTTAAGATAGAATGTTATTGGAAAATGTTACTCTATCTGAACTCAAATTCTGGAATGGATGTTAAACTTCAGCTGGAAAGGCCTTCCTGCTCTGCAATGGGAGGGCTGGGGCTGCATGGCAGAAGGAGCTGAGCCCTCAGGACAGCTGCTGCACTTACATGGTGGGATATGAGCCCTGCATCCAAGGAAGGCTCCAACTCTGGCAAAACGTTTGCCTGGAATTCCTCTCCTTCTTTTAACAACAACTAACCTTGGATTTCACTTAATTGTATGAGAAGTCTCCCTCAATTTCAAACAAATTCTCCTTTTCTGATTGCAATTAAACATTTTAGGCTTTCTTGGGCGTTATTAGAGCATTAAAACAACAAAATCTAGCCCTGCTGAGGTCTGAAATACAGCCCTTTGCTTTCTGTTCCTACGGTGGGGGGTTACACAGCCCAACACACGTGAGAGCAGACTATGTACCTTCCTGCTGAGAACAGCCACTTACAGCAAGGAAAGAATTCACCCTTCCATGTTCCAAAGAAGGGACAGGATTTACATCTATGTACTACTAAAGCATATGAAAATGGAGGTACAGGGAGGGAGAAAACCTTCTGTCTGTAAGATTATCCTCCAACGATTACGTGGAATTAAAACAGTGATATCATTTTCTCTATTAAAGGCTCACTTCCAGGTGTAGCAGTGTTCCTGGCTCACTTTCCCTCCTGTGCACCACAGCTGCCATCCCCAGCACAGCAGGATTACCTTTTTTCTGGGCCCGTTGGTATGGATGTACACCAGTTTGTCCCTTGCATGGGAAATGCCCAAGGCCCGTCCAATCACGCTGTTGAGCAAGTTCTTGGGCTGTGGGAATTCCTTTAACAGGTCTCTGGAATCTGGAGGGAAAAAACCAACAGGAGATGTAAATGACTTCCAATCCTCGTGCAGCCCTGTTGAGGCATGCTGTAACACCAGAGCACACATTTCTCTGAGCTTACAGACAGCCCAACAGGCACAGCTATTAAGTGGTCCACATACAACATCTCCAGGCATTGGGAAAATGGTGCACAGCAGGATGATGCCTCCTGAGTGCCAAGTACCAGACAGCACTGCACATCCACAACACCCAACAATACTTTATCGCTGATACTTCTCCTGAAATGCAGAGGATTTTTGTTCCCCCCCTTCCAAAATAACAGCAGTGCTCCCTGCAGCACCCACACAGCCCAACTCTGTGATTGAGAGACGCTAAGAAGACCCCAAACTGCTATGGGATCACTTCCCCTTCCCCAAAAATACAGTGACAACAGGAAAACCAACAGCCTGAATACACCTGATTGATCCTGAATGCAAATATCCCAGCACAGAACTCAAAGCCCAGCTAAAGGCAAGGAACCGGTGCTGTTTCCTCACTAAGAAGGCAGAAGAGGCTCTGTGTGTCACCCTTTGATACCCAAACCCAACTGAGCAGTAACTGGAGCAGACTCTGGTATTTGCATCCACCCCCTCAAGCACACGCGGCACGTCGGGGTTAGAGCCAGCTCTCAACCAACACGTTACACATCAGATCCAGTCATCACAAATGGAAAAGGTGAAATAACACACTGGGACTTCCTGCTGCATCTCGAGTCCCTTCTGCTCCAAAGCTCTTGCTTAGAGGCTGGAAATTCTGTACGACACAGCTCAGAGACCTGGTTCAGCTCCACGTGTTGATGGTTAAGTTGCAGCCCTGATCTGCCAGAAAGCTCATCCAGAAGAACAGAGTTATTGCTGGGTTCGGAATTAAAGCCATCAGCTGCGCAGACCTGCAGAGCCCCGGTGGCAGTGCCAGGGAACAGGAGAGGGGGACTGGCAGCAGCAGCACAGCGAGAGCAGCCCCCAACTGGAGTGCTACACAACCATCCCTGCTGCTAGAGCAGGTGGAGCACCCAACCCAGGAAGGAGCAACGAGCCACCCGTGGCTCTCAGAGCTACCAGCACGTCCTCCTGAGAACAGTGACTGCAGTCACTATAACAAAGACATAGGGACTGCTTCCAGCAAGCACTGAACAGCTCTGTCACCCTCAGAGCAGCTGCACAGCACGAGAATACTGCAGGGATCTGTGCAGCACGAGCACTCACTGGGAAGCAGAGCAACACAGACAGCATGGGGGTTATAGTGAAGGAGTTACACTGCACCTGAGCTTGGCAGGTTGCAGGATAAGGTAGAAGAAAAACAGTGCTCCTCACATAACCTACCCCAACAATAACAGAACTGATCCAGGGGACAAGAAAAGAACCACTACTGCTGACAGGTTTGAAATTTCTTCCTCCGAAGTGCACAAGAAGCAGCTGAATGGCAGGGAAATCGCTTCCAAATGCCAAGAGAAGCAGGCAGTGCAGGAACTTGGACTCTGTGGCACACACTGGGACACTGTGCTGGCTCTGGTTGCGATACTTCAGCCTGCTAGTCAGGGGGCAGCGTTAAACGGACACAGAACTGCCACCTGCACTGCCATACAGCAGCACACAGCACTCAATGAGCTCCCACTGCTCTCGGATGGGTGGCAGTCAGCCACAGCATCACTGCTGTATGGCAGTGACAGCAAAGCCCTCAGGCTGCTGTTTCTCACACAGGTGAATGCAGCAGCAGAGCTCTGTGGACAAGCGGAGTTCCTAAAGCAAACCACCTCCTAAGTGCCATCTGGGACAGCGTGAGCCAACATGCTAACAGCCATTCCCTGCAGCTGCACAGCAAACACAGAGCAGCACACTGCAAGCGTTCCTTACAGCCACCACTGCACTCACAGCATCACCTGCTGAGCAAAGCAGAGCAGGGACTAAAATCATAGCACTCCTCACCTCGATCCTAATTTCCATCCCTGGGACACACGGAGGGAGGAGCAGCAGCACGATTCCCAAGTGCGCTATTAAATTCACTTAATAAATGGGAAATAAATAATAACCGCCAGCAGCAGCCTGTATTATTTGGCCTCTGGTTGCTTCCCCTTTCAAGAAGGATACCCTGAGGAATTGTGTGATATGGAACAGATGGAGGCAAGAGGTACATTGTTTGTAAATGCCCAAAAAAACAGCACATTTACTTAAGGACTGAACCAATCTCTCGGATTCTGGGGTGACTTCTCAGCAAGGACCAAATATTTAAGTCATCCTTACGCAAAGAACAGGATCTTTAAATAACAAAGCCCAGTTCTGGCTTGCAGATCAGACCCTGAATTGCCAACTGAGACACAATGTCTTCTCCCAGCTGACAATGCCATATTCAGCAGCACCATCTGACACACCAACAGCACTCAGAGGTTTGATGGATTGCCCTCAGCCCATCCTTAGCCTGAAATCAGAAGCTGAAAGGATCTTTCTTTGCATGAAGCCATGCCTCGCTCATAGCTTTTAAAGAAACAATTCCCAAACTGCAGCAGTGGATTTGCAGAACGCTTCCTCCCCTGACAGATTGGATTTCTTGGCACCTTCATCCACAGAGCTCACGAATCCTGACTGCTGAGAACGGATATTTGGGTAGGAGCTGCATTAAAAGGAGTGTAGCTTAATACTCCCAGAACAAAACAGAGCTGATTTGCATGCCCAGCTCCAAGCCAGAACCATACATGATGTCTTTAACCTCAGCTCCAAGATCATGAATGCTAGAAGTCTACCTTGGATAACACACAAATCAAAAGAAGCCAATCAACTAATTTCTGTTCCTCTAAGTCAGAGTACTGAAGCTTAACCTGACTGTGGAAGTCAGTGGTAACTCCAAGTAACGCTGAAAGAAGAAAAAAAAGCAATCAACTCCTGTGTGTAATGTAAGCCTTCTGTTACCCTTAACAGACCTGACACAAAGACACCACCAGGTACATCAGGAGCACAAATAAAATGCCCTATATCTCATCCAGGCAAGACAGAGGAGCATTACATCCATTTCAGCAGCCTTTACCTTCCCTCAAATTCTCTTCCCTGAAGAAACAACAAACAAAACATCCTTGGAGAAGCAACCAAGGAGCAGCAAGGACAAACTGTTCGACACAGCACCCGTCAGGATGGCAGCCCTGCGTTAAGATAGTCATCTCAGTGAAGAATGCCCCCAGTACATCAGCAATCTACACGGAGAAGAAAGCTGTGTGGCCCTGTGACAGCACTTCACAAGGAAGTGGACCAAGTGTCAGTGCCAATACAACTCTGCCATTTTTAAAGCTGGCCTCAGATTGCAGTTGATTTTTCCATATTGGCTATGGCATCCATGGCTAGTAACAACAGCGATCAAGTGTGGACAGCCAGCAAGGTATCAACTTGTGGAAGGCATGGCACTTGCACTTCTAAGGGTTTTAAAATGAATTTTATCACCCCTGTAGCTGTGCAGGTAGGGCAGATCCACAGCAAGACCCTGGGGATGCTTCTATTCACTTATCTGACACAAAGCAACGCGGAGCTGCTGGAATTGGTGCACAGGAGGCCACGCAGATGCTCAGGGGATGGAGCATCTCTGTTATGGGACCTGGCTGAGGGCTGGGGGTGTCTGACCTGGGGAGCCCTCCCTGCAGCCTTCTGCTACTTACAAACAGGAGGGAGGGTGACTTCCACCTTGGTCTGATAGCGACAGGACACAGAGGAATGGTTTTAAACCAAAACCATCCACAACACCTTCCAGATAAAGCTCTGCATGTGGAACTACGAACCCAAAGGACTCAAAATCACAGAATCACACGGAATCACAGAGCCACAAGGTAGGATGGAGCTCTGGATGGAGCCCCCATCCAACCCCCCGCTAATGCAGGCTCCCCAGTGAGCAGCACAGGACAGCAGCACAGGACAGCAGCACAGGACAGCAGCACAGGACAGCAGCACAGGACAGCAGCACAGGAGTCCCCGCTTGAAAGGGACCCACAAGAACGACGGGGCACAGCTCCAGGCTGCACACAGCGCTGCCCAAACGCCAGAAAGAAAACTAGAAAATCACAAATAGATGCCGGGAGGGGAGGAGGGAAGGAAGTCCCGCATACGGAGGGAGGAAGAAAAGGAAAAAAAAAAAAAAAAAAAACCAAGAAGCGGGAAAGCTTTCAGTCCGACCGAGCGGCCGCGCACGGGGCAGCCCGCACAGCCTCGGCCCGACGCCGCCCGCGAGCGGCTCCGGCACCGCCGCGCCGCCCGGCCCCTCCGCGCGACCTTGAGCCGCTCGGCCCGGCCCAACAAAGGGCCGCACGGCCGCCGCTCCGCCCGCCGCTACCTGCGCCGCCGCCCCCCGCCTGCTCGCCCGCTCCGCGCATCCCTGGGCTCCGTCCCGCGACGGCCGCGGCCTGGGCCGGCCGGGAGCGCGCACGGGAGGGCCGCGGGGGCGCGCGCGCCGCCTCCAACCGCCCTCCCCCTCCTCGGCCCCGGGCCGCCGCTCAGCTCCTCCCTTCCGCTGCGTTCGGGGCCGGCCGCGGCCCCCCCCGGCCGCCTCCGCTCCTCACCCTTCACCATGGCGCCGCTCTGCTCCTCGGCGCCCGGAGGAGGCGGCTGCTCCTCCTCGTCCTCCTGCCGGGCCTCCTCCGGGCCGTCGGGCTCCGCTAAGCGGGCGCACAGCCCCCGCGCCCCGCGGTAGCAGCGGCCGAGGCGCAGCGGGCCGGCCGAGCCGCAGGCGGCCGCCGCTTGTAGCAGCAGTCCCAGCGCCGCCATCTTGAGGCCGCCCGGTGCCGGCTGCGGGCCGCTGGACAGAGGGGGGATAGAGCGCCGCCTTCCTGCTACGGCGCCCCCGTGCGGAGAGCGGGCGGGGAGGACTCGGCGCGGAGGACCGAGAAACGGAGAGAAAGAAAGGAGAAAAGAGAAAAAAAAAAAAAACGGGGGGGGGGGGGGGAAAAAAAGGCCGCGGCGTCGTGCGGCTCCGCTGCCGCCTCCTACAGCCACGCGGTGCCGATGGTTCGCCCCGAGCACCGAAACCTGGACCCAAATAAAGCCGTTTTCATCCACAAATCTCCGGCAAAACCTCCCTGCTGCGCGTGCATCCAACGAACCGCACCGCCTCCGCTGCCCTCAGCCAGCACGAGCAGCAGGGGAGCACGGCATCGGGGGTGCAGTGCGATTCATCTGGGGCTTTTTGTGGAAACAGCCCCAAAACGGAGGCGGCCACACAACCCACGGAGGTTCTCCTGCACCACCAGCTGACCGATGGTTGACCACAAGCCAGCA